GACGATAAATGGAATTCTGGACTTGATAAACTCTATGTCTTCCGTGGAAAGCTTGGTATTACTGGAGTGGATGATGGTTCAGGGTTCTCTGGGTTCTTTTCGGAAGGAGCCGCCATTGATGATAGAAAGCTTGACTATAGAGATCTTTGAGAGGAAGGGATGAAAATTGAGAGATGTAAAACAGACGGAATGAAGGTTTGAGCAGGTTTTAAAAAGCTCCGGGTTGGTGTCCTTAAATCAGCCCATTAAGAAAACTTATTCGAATTTTTTAAAAAAAAATTCAGCGGTTCCTCTTCCTCAAAAGGTACTGATCATCATGGTTACGTGATAAGAACGTGTGCAGATCTGAAACGATCATTCCTCATTTAATGAGGAGAGAGAAAAAGCACTCAAGTGCTGAGAGGTGCATTAAATGCACGTCTTTGTCCTGTCAGACTAGTGGGATAGAGGCGATTTTCTCGGCCATATGATCCCAATGATACTTTATGAACGGTTTTAGATTCAAGAAGAATAGCGTCTTAAGTACGATTCAAAAACCCGAATGTTGTTCAGAATTTCATAAGACGCACATAATGTTGCCCGAGAGATTCATGATAAACAATCAACATTGTTACCCCGAAAGATGCGGTAAGTTTTGATCAGAACAAACTTCTAGACTGTCAGCAAGGTTACACAGATAAAACATGACATCTTATTAGCACATAGATAGGCAAGCTTTTATTCAGCAATCGAGAAGAGAAGATACAGAAACATAGATGATGATTTTCAGAAAATCAGCTTTTTCTTCCTCTCAACCTTCTTGGATGAAGAGCATTCAGGCTTATCTTTCTTCACCCTTCCAAACACTTCCCTATACCATCTTTTATAGCGCGGAAAGTTGGAACCAGTAGAGGACTCAGCTTCATTCATCTTTGTCATACTTCTCTTCCCCAATTTTCTTGGTGCCAGAAAGGCCATGTAGTCCTTGTCAATCCATTCTTTTGGGATTGTCTCACTTGGATTTTTTGAGATCTTTTCTTCATTCTCTGATTCAACGATGAATCCATCCATATCATCGTAAATGAAACGATGAGTCTGAATCAGAGACGAGATTGATAGGAACATTAGGACTATTGCCTGGATATA